CTTATATTAAGAGTACTTTTTTGAGAATAATACTTTTATTTGAAGAATCCTACCATTATGTATGAACTGGTGTACGATAATGAGTAGGAGAATCCCTGGAGTAGCATTATGTGAAGTGTTCCGATATAACGTTAACGGCTTCATTATAGGAAGCAGAGGATTGGGCAAATGGTGTTAATTGTCTGGAGTACTATTCTTTGAAGAATATTGCTACACCCAGATTACTATGATGTAAAGAGTACCTTTGTGTGTGCAATATTGACATTCTAGGAGTGGTATTATTAATGAAACACTATTCTGTGAAGTGCATGGATATTCCAGGAAAACTATTGCCTGAAAAATACTGATGTGTATTCATTTCAAATAGTGAAGATTGTGGAAGTTGTCGTAGTACTGTTATATGAATGTATTAATGGTTGAACTAGAATGATATTTTCAGAGTATTGTTGTTTGAACACCACATCTCCATAGAAGTAATGGATGATCTGGAGCAGTATTTCGTTAGCCTTTTTATGTGTGCGTAGTATTCTTATTTGCAGAGCACAGTTGACCTAAGATTATACAGGTTTCCAAAGCAAGATTATTTGAAAGGTTTCGATATACACAGAATACTTTTATATAGGGGACACTATTTTATTAAGCATGATAATAAATCCGTAATACTATGTCGTAAGCTAAATGTATGTGCCCCAAATATTACTTTGGGGTGGCTGAGACATTGGACGTTTCGTTATTTGAATAGATTCATTGTTCATATTTCACTGATGCCTTCTCATTTGCAGTACATTCTTTTTGAAGAGGTTAAAAACCCGACTGTAATATGAGGAAGTGACAGTTTTACAAATTCCTATGATGTATCAACCATAGCCTTTTTTGACAAAATGCAGTATCCTAGAAGTAGTATTATATACAGAATACCTTCCTCCCAGGAGTATCATCGAGGTTGCTAACCTTAATGCAACAGGAATAGCTTTGACAGAAGAATAAGAATCTCCATAACATAGGAACCACTTATTATCTTAAGAAGAGAGGGACACCAAAATGAAATAGCAGAATTAACCCAAATGAAGTTTCTGCATTAAGACTACTACAGAATTAAACAAAATTATCTATTGAACAGGCGAAGATGGATATATCTGGTGAAACCGTATAAATAACTTAAGCGTATCGGGAAACATGGGAATCCCACCAACCCCCAAAATACCACAAAGGAGTGGGCCGCTATACCCAAAAGAAAAAAGAAGATATATCCAATAATAGTACCTAAAATAATATCAAGAGCAAACAGACCATCCCGCAGGGGAGCAGATACCCCCCAAAGAGAAACACTTAAAATCCCCTATAGGGTGGAAAATAAGCAACAGCTAACCCCAACAAAAATAACGGGGGAGTTTATAAAGAACCTTCCTGTCTCAGAGCCATCCGAATTATTCACAATTAAGAGGAAGAATAGCTAACTAAAGGACTTCTTAACTATGTTAATTGGTCTTCTAGATTTTTTCCTGATCGTATAGAACCTTAGGATTCAAATTAGAAACTCTAAAATTTTATTTGCTCCCCTAGGATATAAACAAATCAGATCCCCTCTGTAATTTTATCCATGGAAATATATGAATGTGTGGACTAAACTTATTTCTTCCATGAAATTTAACAATCTTCATTAAGAGCTATTCTTTTTTTGTAAGAGTACAAGGGGCATTATCATATAAGATCTAGAGAGTTTACCACCTTCCCTGTATCAACACTTAGTCTAAGGCGTATCGCTTCTTGATCTATCCCAACTCCTAGGAGTGAAACATCACTATTAACTCCCTAGCAGGGTACTGGTGTATCATCCGAAGACAAAGTTCTTTTGTTACCTGTATATTCGGTGTTGGCGTAATTTCCAATATAGAACTTTCGAATCTTTGCTTAAGGTTCAGGAAATAGATTTATTTTTAATTTTTTCTATCAATATGAGGATTATGAAGGAGCTCCCAGAACAGCTCTAACTTAAATTTCAAGAGATCAACCCAAAATCTATAACTAGTGCTGAATTGCCAGTAATCGGTCTAATTCAGCGTAACTGAGAAGAATGAAAAGAACTGTTAATAAAGTAATGTCTCAAGAAGTCACCAACATCGCTTATCAGAAATGACCAGAAGCCCACTCCTGACAGGAGGAGAGGGATAGAACAATCCCCTGCCAAGAACCAAAAGGAGTAGAATTACTCGAGAACCCAACAACAACAAGGGAAGAATAAAACACTCGAGACGAAAGAACAGGTAGCAGACGCGTATCAAACCAGGAGTCCAAAGATACGCAGGCCCCCAAATGCAGGTAAAAGGACCACGCCAAGCAGAAGAAGGGAGGAGGAAGCAGAAAGGTTCTCAACCCGGGACCGGACAAGATAGGGGCTAGCCGACGCCGTAACACTAGTAAATAATAATTAGGAGGATTGAGCAGTCTAATCACCCCCCGCCTAAACTGATAATAGGAGGCTCTTATTGGGAACAGGAATTACCAAATAAGCAGAAGTATTAAACCACAAAGACGTATATAGAGGACAGTTAAACAATCAGACGAGAAAGCCCAAAAAACAAGAATCCTGAAACTAGGGGAAGAATGAAATAATTATAAACTCAAGCTTCAAAATGCATCCACCCCCAACCACGAAGTGGGCAAACAGAAGGAATCCACACCCGCTGAAGCAGAAGAGACAATTAATGAGGCAAGCTCAGAAAGTAATAATCTCATTATATTTAATTCAAAAACAACCATATTTTCCGCCTAGAGTAAGGAATAACCCACTAACAAGGTGTTAGGAGTAGATGGCTTATCGGGGCTCCGGTGAAAACAAGGCAAGCCTCCAAGAAGGAATAATCTGAAGCAGACAACTGAACTCCTGATCAACCCAACAATCAACAAGACACGGAGTATGAGGACAAATCACGATCCTGAGGCTAAAACAACCAAGCGTCTCAGATCCGGGGAGATAGGACTCTCCACAAACTAATTCAAGACAAGGGAAAAGAAATAAAGGCGCCAGGAGGGAAAACTAACCTCCAACTGCAAAAACCTCATCAAATATCAAAAATCAACTCTAAGATGGAGTTAAGTTCAAAAATTCCAGTAAACAGCAGAAAGTCAGGATGATGCCAAACCCCCACCCGAAGAAGCAGGAACAGGACAACAGAAAAGGAAAACCCAGCCTAGGTTCAGACAATACCACAAACCCCAAAAAATAAAACCCAAACCTAAACACTAGCGAAAAGTCAAAAACTAAACAGCCCCGGTCAGGAACAAACAAAGAAAAACAGGCAGCAAACAAAACACAAAAAAACCTGCCGAATAGAATAAATAGGCCACAACCCCACTATCAGGAGGTAAAGGCTTACCAGAGCAAGATGTAAGCGAGAAGCCCCCGAAGAAGTAAGTCATTCAACAGTTGAACAGGCCGATAAGAAAGCCCAGTTATTCGGTCGCAAAGAGACGTAGGGAGCAAGGGCAAGGTTTTAACAGAACCTAACAGACAAACAGAGGATCCACTCCCAAACCCGAAAAGGAAGAATAAACAGCCAATAACCAAAGAGAAACGGCCCCCGAGATCTCCCGAAAAGGCGGAGACCATCAGAAAAAGAGGGCAAATTCTACCAGAAACGTGGAATCCACAACCATCAGGAACTCTCAATGTAATTCCAAGCCTTGACCAGACCAGGAACAGTTCCCCCTACCCACCCTAAAGTCAAGGAAAAGTCTAACGCGGCGCTACCGCAAACCAATACAAGGCAAGACAAAAACAGGAAAATACTGCTCGTAGCCCTCTAGCACCCCACAGAAACTCACAGACGTATCATCACAAGAAAAGAAAAAAGGAAGCGAATACCGAGCGTGTCGACTATCGGGATTCTTAACCATGGACTCCCAATCTCAAGGAAAGATAGAACTAAAGGAACAGCCCCGACCGAAGACAGGGGCTGAGCTCAAATAACAAGAAAAGGAGGACGCCAGTAGGAAGGTTACTTCGCTGTTAGATCAGCTCCACGAGGACGTCACAACGGATCATAAGAAGAATAGAGGAGGAGCATGTCCAATTCAAAGGAAAAGCAGAACAGCATAAACACCAATCGAGTAATTAGATCGAGAGGGCAACAATCAGAGGAAACTCGCCAAAGCAGGCCAAGAGTAAGGGGAAAATCGTGACTGTATTGAGCTTGTCAAGGCGTAAAATGGAAGGAGAGGAGTCCCTGAACCAGGAGGAGCAGAAGGGACAAGGCATTAAAGAACAAGATCACAGTTAACTGACCCACCAAAAATAAGAGGTCGAACGGCTCGCCCCTTCAAGACGCATGGCATCTCAACGAGGAGGGAACAAATAAACCTGAAGAAAAGGAACCGAAATGCCTCGGCACACCCAAAGAACCCCAAGAGTCTAACAGGAACCAAATAAAACCCCAAAGTCGCCTTAGAAGCAAGGTCACAGCCTCAAAAGACGGGTCCAATGGGAGGACCCTGAGGCGGAGGCAAACTAATTCAAGCCCCGCTAGGCAGTCCTGATAGGCGTCTCAAAAGGAGGAGGGATACCTCCGTGAGGAGGAATACCCCAGGGGGACCCAACCTCGAGACCTCCTAAGGGAGAGGCATTAAGAACTAAACAAACAACAGGAAAAGGGAAGCTATCAAGAGACAGCCAAAAAATAAAAGAACAGACGGTGAAACGAGGGAAAAAAGGTGGACCCTCCTAGGGGGAACCAGGTAACATAAGTCACAAAAAACGTAACGTTGCCGCAACTACCCAAAAGGAGAAACAGAGCAGATCAGTATAGGACAGCAGAAAGAGGAACCGTGAGGGACACCCAGGCAGTAATATCTCCACAGCACCCGAACACCCAAGGGGAAAGGGGAACTCACTGGAAAAAGAAACTGGAGGACAGGGGGAAGATCGCGCCAAGGGAGGAAGGGGGCGGCGCGGACAAGAGATCCGCAAAGGAGGGCAGGCAGATTAGAGGAGACCACTGGAAATGAGCGATAACACAAAGGAAAAGAAGCGGGGCTTAAATGACAGAAGAGCCGACAGCTTAGAACGGCAGAGGAGGAAAGAGCCCCCGCCGCCCAAGGCAGCCGTCAGGAACACGAACACGGCCTACCAGGAGGGCCAAAACGGAACCCAGACCCAACGACCTGTGACAAGAAAAGGCTATACGGTTCAGAGCAGGGAAAATTCGAGGTGAGGCGGAGGGTTAACACAAGGACGGGGGCCCCAAGGGGGAGCAGGGAAGAATTTCCCAGGCTCAAGGACGCCGAGAAGAACACCGCTGAGGAGGCCGACGGCTCAGAACAGGGGGGGGAAAGAAGCCAGGGCGGCAAGATTAAGACGCGGCGAAACAGGGGCAAGGGGGGGAGGCCCCCCCGGGGTCGAGAAACAGAAGAACATGTCACCACGGGGAAGGCGGGAAGAAGAACAACAAAAGCAAAAAACTAAGCAACAACACCGAAGCATCACCAACCAGCCGTCACTGACCCCAGGGCGCGGACAAGCATGGAAGACGAGGAACTGGGAGAAGGAGCAGGTTCCGGAAAAGGGGGAAGGCGTCATAGGAGCAGGAGAAGCCAGCAAAAACAGGGACGGGCCCCACAGAAGGGAGAAGAGAAGAGACCAAAGTGGAACGAATGGCGTCCTTGCAAATAAGTGCCCAATGGCGTAGGCCGAGCCAGGGACGACCCAGTCACCAAAGCAGACGCCCAACAGGGGTACCGGCCCGGAGGAGGGCAAAGGGAGGGATGGGTAAAGGAGACAGGGAGAGGAGGACTCCCCCAGGGGGCATTATAAAATAGGGGCCACGGGGGCGAAGTGGGGGGGCACCAGGGAAGATCCCAGCAACTGACCCCAGGAGCAGAGTACGAGAGAGCGAAGCAAGGCTCCGAGGCAGGAAAAGGAGAGGAACAAAAGCCTCCAGGGAAGGATAAGGGAGAGACCTCAATCTAGGAGGGCGGACGAGGGGGACCAACGCGAGAACGAGACCAGGCCGCTCAAAGGGAAGGACAAGGCGAGGGGGCCGAGACAAACAAAACAGAACAAGGAGGGGCCCAAGCCGCAGAACAAAGGGGGGGGAGAAAGAGACGGAGAAGGCTAAGGAGAAGGGGGGGCTTATCAGGTCCCAGATACGAAGGGAATCAGCGGAAGTGGGGCAACAGGGGGAACGGAGCGGCGACAGCAGGAGGTGAAGCTTCTGTGGGGTCGAAGCGGACCAGAAGCGGCCAAAAGAGCCACACAGTAGGAAAACCGAAGAATCCGCGGAAGGGGCGTCATAGGGCCCCAGACCAGAATAGACCGAGCGGGGGCGTAGCCTCAAAGGACCGGAAAACGGAGGAATAAGGCAGCTCTGAGGACGGGGGAGGGGAAGTCACCGAAGCCGGCGCCGCAAGGGGGGAGACTCCGGAGGGGAGGGGGAGATTGAGATGAGCAACAAAGAACAAAGGGGCCGAGCCTAAGAGCACGGCATTCCAGCTGGTGAAGGAGGAAAATCAGGACAGCAATCTCTCGGTCTAGGGAACACAGGCAATGGACCGCGGTCAAGCATAACAAGGAGGCGGAACAGCTGAGAATGACCCAACGATCCAACGGACAACCCCCAGGCAGAAAATCGGAACAACAAGGGAAGAAGAAAGCCGAAAATGCAAAAACTTCACAGCTATATGTTATCTTTAGAGGAGGACAGCAACAAGAATCCGCCAGGGACGACAGAGCAGTATACAGCCAAGAGGCTGACAGACCTAAAGAATTGCTCGGGCGAGAAGGTGACCAACGTGACAGGCAGATGGATGTCAATGGCCAACGGCCCAGCAAGCATTCATGGATGGACAGCTCAGGCGGCTAATATCATATGCAAGAATCTGGAGCTATGGTTCGGGAATTTACAAGAGACAGAGGGAAGCCCACCTAAGTGGACGTATACCAAATGTACCGCCGATAACCTGGAGGTAGAAGGGTCAAAAGGCACCACCACAGCCTGCCCACCTAATCCTAACCACAATTATTGGAGCGGTCTTGGGTTTAGCACAGAACTTTCAGGAAACAAGCGGGAACATAGGAGCCTGATGATTTGCATGGATGTGATATCAATCCTTCTGACAGTTTATAATAATGTTAACAATTGTCAAAACCAAGAACTTTGCTATAACAACACTCTGGTATGCGAGGCATTATATGAATGGTATAAAGAATGGGGAGGGGAAAAAGTAGCGAAGGAGATTATGAAGTTTTTATTTTCCAAAGGAGAGAGGTCAGTTCGCGTGAGAGGACAAGAGATACAGATAGAGAGAAGTCCATCCGAGTTTTGGGCTAAGATCCTAGGAATCAAGGGATTAAGAATCGCAGGATTACAATGCCAGGCAACAGACTGGCCTACTGACAACTGGAACATGACTTGTCTACATCGGTCCAAAGGCGACAGTTGCCAAGTAATGGGGGACCAAGCTTGGGAGGAGTATGAGGTAATTAAGACGAGAGGATAAGAGAGAACGAGAGAAACAACAACTGCCTCGCAAACAGCTAAACATCGGCAGCCGGCTAGTACTCACCCGGCTAGGATACGAGACTTCAGCCGCAGCACTGGCAGAAGCACGGTGCCGGAGCAGTAATAAAAAGAGGAAGGCTCCGGAGTCCAGACTCCGAGGACCGAGCAAGGTCCCAGCCATCCGACCGGGCTAAAGAGTCAGCAGACGACGAGAACCTCCGAGGGAACCTCAGACCAACCCAAAAAAACAGGCCCCGGGTTCACTGTACGTGGAGATTCCAATCGCCAAAGAGGTAGGAAGGGGAACAGTGAATAATCTATTACATACATCTACTGTTTTTCCGCAGAGACAACAACGGGCCCTGCAAAAAGAAGTTGAGAAAAACTACGACGGACTCCAAACCCGAGACCAGCAAATTACAGAGGCGATTGGACAAGTGAGAAAAACGGGAAGTGAGGCAGCATCAATCCTGGGCAAAACCGTAGCAGCAGGAGGGGTATTGGTAATTTCTATCCCGTTTGGGTGGTATATCTGGAACCGAGTCTTTAGGGCGCCGGTGGTGGAGTCCTCCAGGAAAGTAAAAGTGGGATACGGGACTAGATGAAACATGCAAAAAGAGTCATACACCCCCAACAACTTCGACTGACAACCAAGAACCCCCCCCAAGAAACGCAGGGTACAGAAGGGGCACGACATCACCGAACTGGGGGTCATAAACCATAAGGCCGAAACCCCCACCGATCCTACGTTCTGAGGAGGGGGCCAGGTACTAAGGGTTTACTGGCTGACAAGACGACGGGAACACCCAAGGGAAGGGGGGAATCCACGATATTTAAAGCAGCAGCCACAGGCGCTCCGACGGCTAGGAGGAGAGGAAATCACTCCGCCGGTCTCGGATTCCAAGGAGAACTACCGCAAAGGGGGAAACGGGCACACGACATCTCGCGCAAGGGGGGGTGCCAAGGGGTTCAGACGTCATTATCTTTCCAGAAGTAAAAACTGTACCTGACTCAGAGGAAGCGACTTAAGGAACTCAAAACCCCAAAGGCGGTCAATCAGATAAGAATCCAAGGGGAAGCAGCGATAGCGGTCGAACATTGCTCGGGCCTGAATAGCGAAAAATGACCCAGAGGAGAACGGGCGTTGTGAGGACAACCAACTCAGAAACAGCCACTAGGGTAGGGAACCACCACACCTCCTAGGAGGAAGTAAGGGGTAGAAGTACATGGGCCGGGCAAGGGGTTGGACGTGCACTCTACAGATAAGGTTCTACCTGTGGAAACCAAGAAGGGGGAGGTTTGGCGCTTCAGCCTGAGCTTCGGGGGTTGCAGAGTATAGGTAAGAGGATGAATTTAGGATTTTTGAGTGATGCCTGAATTTTGGGTTCAGGCGCTTGAGGATACCCGCAGTGACTTCTGAAATCAGGGCTTTAGGATTCCGTTCACAGATTCCGAGTTTACCGTCCACAGCCTTGTTTCGGGCATGGGGGGGGATGAAATTGGGGAGTGAAGTGGCGGGGTTAAAGGATTCAGATTAAAGTTTAAGAAGCAACAAGTTGACGCCAGGATTTTGGGGCTTGCCCCCCAACGAATACTGCCTTGTTGGTGTAGCATCGGGAACTGGGTGTCGACGTGGGCAGGATAGGAAATTGGATTAGGGCTCCAACGGGTAACTTTAGGTTTCACGTTCGTTGTTCGAGGGTTAAGGTTCGGGATGTAGCGTTTAGGTTTTAGGGTTTAGGGTTTAGGGTTCGGGGTTCAGGGATTAAGTTTTAGGTTTAGGGTTCAGGGTTTAGGTTTTTGTGTTCAGGCTTTACGGTTTAGGTTTCAGTGTTTAGGGGTTCAGGGTTGAGGTTTCAGGGTTCAGGTTTTTGTGTTCAGGGTTTAGGTTTTACGTTTAGAGGTTCAGTGTTTAGGTTTAGGTTTAGAGGTTCAGTGTTTAGGTTTAGGTTTCACGGTTTAGTGTTCAGGGTTAGGTTTTACGGTCTAGGTTTTAGGGTTTAGGCTTTCACCTTTTGGTTTCTGGGGTTAGGGTTTACGGTTTCACCTTTAGGTTTCTGGTTTACGGTTCAGGGTTCAGGTTTAGGGTTCAGGGTTCAGGTTTAGGGTTTAGGGTTCAGGGTTGAGGGTTGAGGTGTCCGTGTTTAGGGTTCAGGGTTTAGGTTCAAGGGCTCAGGTTTTAGGTTTAGGTTTACGGTTCAGGGTTTACGGTTCAGGTTTAGGGTTTAGGGTTTAGGGTTCAGGGTTTAGGGTTCAGGTTTAGGGTTTAGGGTTCAGGGTTTAGGGTTCAGGGTTCAGGGTTCAGGGTTTAGGTTTAGGGTTCATGTTTGAGGGTTTAGGCGTTAGGGATTAGGCATATTTTTATGATTTGAGGCTTAGTTTTTATGGTTTAGCTTTATGGCTCATCCTTTAGGGGTTAGTTTTACCTCTTGTCCCCAGAGTCGTTCGATTAGGATTCATTTGTCACGGCGTCAGCCTCTAACATCCAGCTTCCAGCTTTAGGTTTAAATCTCATGCTTTAATCCTCAGGTTGATGGTTTTGGGCCTACGGTTTATGGCTCAGGGTGTTGGTTCATCTTTCATGAGTTGTGGATTAGGTTCTAGATTCTATTGATTCAGGATTTAGGATTTAGGTCTCAGGGGGCGAGCTTCTGTTTACGGTTTAGTTTGCTTAGCATTCAGGATGTCTTGGTTTCCTGTCCCGGATCGGAGTCTATATTTCTGGATCTACTTCGTCTGGGGTAGTGCGTAGCTTATATGTTTCATTTGTCAGGATTTAGGGACTTCTCCTTATACTCCGGGGTTAAGATTTCGACTTATTGTCGTGGGTTCAGTTTTTCACATTCAGTTCTTATGGGAGGACTCTGTTTCTTCTTTTTTTTATTCCTACTGTTGTTCATTATTATTTATGTCCATTTACGCTAACGAAAGGTGGTATCAATATACTTGGTGACATATCCTGATGAGATGCAAATATGATGGAGTTGCAGTTCTTAACAAGAATCATACGCGAGCTTCTATCTGTATGCGATGAATTAGAACCATCTTCTCCTATAGGCCTATACCTCTAAGGAAAATATTCGTATCGTCATTTTATATGTTGACTTTTCTTCTATTTTGTCTTTTCCAGTACATAATGGGAACCTGGAAATGCCTTGACGCATCAGATGAGGTTTTATTTATAAGACAGTACTCTCTATAATTTACTCTAGACATATATTTCCTTTCTATTTTATTGCAGTGATTCTTTTGCTTTCGAGGATTAGTCTTCTGAGGGGTTTGTATTTTATATTTTAATTTTTAAGGAGGACATGGCAGTTATTAAATAAGCCGAGGCTATCTACTTTCTGAATTAACTTTTCATCTTTTTATATTAAGATAATGATAGTAATAGAAAATGACTCTATTTGAGTGGTAAATTTTCTCTGTTTTGATAAATTTATAATATAGAATTCAATAGTAAATCTGACTGTAATATAACATTTTAGATATCTCTTAAGCAGTCAAAAGAGGAGCAAGTCCATAATAAGATCATTTTTTCTTTCTATATGAGAATTCTGTACTCCATACAATTCATATGTAAATATTGCTCTTACGGAACTGTGTTGACGTCAGTTGAGAGGCATATGAAGAACAGAGATGAATATAATTATTACCGAAGACAAAGAATTACAACTGTTACCGTTATAAATTATGGCATCCCTTATGATATGAGCTATGATGTATAGACGAATTTATCATATGCTGATAATCACTGATATCAAAGTACAAAATTCTGATTAATACTACGAACCCTTCTGTCCTTATTTTAAA